GGAGACTAAAAGTGGCTTTAAAACACAGAATGGGATTTAAACCCAGTGAGGACTCAGACCCCTCCTCTCAACCACTGTCAATACAAATACAAAGTAACTGTGACTTTGAGGCGTTAAGCAATCAAATGATTAAAATATTCTTAGCATTTAAGATAAAATTAACCACAGTATTCTGCCTCTACCCAAGCAAAGCCTGAGAATCTTTGTAAAAGGGCAGCAGAGAGTCACCTGGTATTTCTAAAAGTGGACTTATGGACCTCTGGTCCCAAGATTATCCAAGAACCAATGCACCCCATAGCCATGAAGGTGTGCAAGAACACAGACATATGCCCCTCCATGCATATCACCTGCACAACAGCTCTGAATAATCCCATTGCATTATCCGTGGTTACCCTTTGTATGCAACTTTATACTGTCCAGCATTTCAGTTACTTGAGTTCCCTGAGCAACACCACTGAAAATGCACAGCACCTGTTCAGGCATCAAGGACGTCTGGGCCAGCCATCTGATGAAAGCCCTGGACTCACCATTCCCAAGGAATGTACAATCAGATCATAAAACATCAGTGTCAGATCAAATACAGAGGTAATATTCAGACTGGTTTTAAATGGAGATGCCATTTAAAAAGTTCTGATAGAAGAAATTATAAAAATTCTCCACTACAAATAAATAAATAACCATGTAGATAGTGAGTTTGGGAAAACGTTTTCAATAATTGAGACAATGGATTTACAACAGGCACAATGTACATGAATGTTAGTAAAAGGGGTGTTAAGACCCCAAAAGATAAAGCAAAGGGTCTGATAAGCAATTTGCAGGAATGTATTTTCAACTCTCCAAAACATGCTTCAGTTATTAGTGTTTATGCAGTGAGGCTGAAGAAAAACTGTCAAACTGGAACAAGAAAATGGAGGGTTCCAGAAAAAGAAAAAACAAAGAAAAGTGCAACTGAGAGGTTGCTTGATATATCTGATTCAGTGGGTTATTGAGTCAAGAGGAGTTTTAGCTCAGTCTCAGAGTTGGGAAGACAATTGTAATAGGCACAGGGCCCACCGAAAACACACACACACACACACACACACACACACACACACACAAACCAGAACAAGAATTTACCCTGGGAAAAGTAACAAGGGGGACAAAAAAGGTACCTACATTATATACCTCACTTTAGAAGTAAACATCATCACAATAAAAAAAGCACTAAATTGACCCTAATCCACATTCTAGAATGATTATCCTGGGTGGCAGGCAATTTAGGAAAGCCAGGGGCTCATTTCTTAGAGTAGGAAGTCAGCAGACGTGGTGTATAACAGACAGAGCCAAACAAAAGCAAATAAGCATATTATAAAAAATAAGGTGAAATAGCAATAAAAATGAAAAAGATTGCTTTGGGTGAGCAATACTACAGGATAGGAAAGTATTATACTCAATTAAGATTAAATAAAAAGAAAAATTAATTCTGGTCATACCAAAGCATTTCCATGACAACTCAACATAAATGGATGGACTTAATAAATTAAATCAATCAAACTGGCCAGGACAGAATGAGAACTTATCAATTAAGACAAACGGATGGAGTGAGAAAGCTGAATGTCAGGTGTTGGACATTCCAATGCTCTTTGTAGCCACTCAGAGTCTAAATAAACAAACCAAGGCTCAGGCCTTTCCTGAACCTCTGCGGCCTTCAGGCCCTATTCCATCCTCTACACTCCACCAGTGACTGCCTCCGGACTGGTCCCACTGACCCTGACACCATGCTGCACTCCCGGCAGACCCTGCTGCCTGCTGCCTGCTCAGACTAGGGCCTCTCCCACATAGCACACCAGTCTGAAAGCCCAGCACTCTCTGGCACCCATGCTCCCCTTCAGTGTTCCAGCACAGCAGTTCCCCTCTATTGTTACCAGCTTAAGGAGCAAGGACTCCAGTTTCAGAGCTAGGTACCCACAAGACAGAGGATGCTGTTCACCAGACACTGCCTACCACAAAGCTTTCAGTGCACCCTCCTTGCCATCAAGACATCACCAATATTCTAGATCTCCTACCTTCCTCCTCTCATCATCGGCTTTTGGTAGCCTCCAAAAATAAATATATGGCTTCTCCGAGAAATAAAAGAATCAAGAAAGGGTAATTTTTGATTTGTTAAGTCTGCTGCAACATAAACTAAATGTTCTTTCTACCAGTATCTATTACCTTGGCTGAATGTGGTTACACTTAAGATTTCAATTCAACCACCTTTCAAGACTCATAGGGCAAAACTTACATAATTAATCATTAGGGGCAAAAAATTCAAATTGATACAAGATAATTTTGTCAGACAAAGTTGTGAGCTAATACAATTTTTTCCTAATAATATAATCTTAAAATGAATAAACTTTTTATTTAAAATGTAATCAGCTAGTTTTATTTTTAAAATCTTCCTACAATTCCTCAGTTAAAAAAATCTCCTTTCCAAGTGAAAAGAAGCTGACCGGTTCAAATCAAAGTAGAAAATAAGATGATACGACATGTCAGGGAGTTTAATGCCAATCTCCTTTTAAAACTCTACCTTTTGAATTTAATTGCTCTTAAAAAAAATAAAGTATGTGGACATTTAAGAAAAATTCTCCCCAATGGCCTAAATTCCTAATTTTTTTCTCCATTCATTTACAGCTAAACCATTCCAAAAGTGGAAGAAAATGTTAAAATTTGCAAACCAGGAGACAAGAAGTAAATTAGGGTGTAGTTAGAAAAAAATCCATTACAGTTAAAGTTGAAAAAGCAAAACTTAGCTCGGACTTTAAAAAGTGCTCTGCCATTCATTCCTTAGATACAGATGACAGACAGAGTCACCTGCACAGTGAATAGGAGACAATATTTCTTCCCAGGGCACACTACAGCTGGACATAATAATACCCTTTCTCTGAAAAACTACTGTATTTTGCTGTACAGTCCTGGACTATCAGAAGTTTTGCTGTTCAAAAGTACATCGGTAAGGATAAAACATCCTATTTAACTTGCAGGATTCATGTTTTGTAACGGTTATCATAAAAAATTCAGTGAAGCCCTGCTATTTCAGACTCTTTGAAAAGGGGAAACTGCCCATCTAATTACTGGAAAGTGAGTTATTGAGCAGTAGAAAAACAATTTGCTTTCAAAATCAAACAGTAGCTTGAGGGAGTCTAATACAGATTCAGTCCTTCACCCCAACTCCAAAGAGCTCTGAAAAACAAGTTTTTCAGTAATTTTAGGAAACTTCTTTTAGTGACCACACCTGCCCTAAACTGACACATAGTTTTTATTACTCTACCTAGTGAGATCATTCACAGTATAGGTGCAGAAACAATTGTGTGGGGTTACAGGACACTGTATTGGAGTGCTAGGTGTCAGTATGCACCTAGTACCTTTCTAAATTCTGAGAAATGTCTTTTTCAATGGTGAAATTCAGACTCTAACTTCGAATTTTAAATTCTGAAAAACCCTGAATTCCAAAACATATCTGAGCACAAAGGTCTTGAATAATGATTATGAACATGCAATGTGCTGCCTAAGTGATGTCCTACTAAGAAGTCTTTGGTTTTAAAACAGAGAAATCAGACCTGTACTTAGAATATTAAATATGAGCCTAAGGAAGGCTAAGGCATTATTTCTTAAATACAAACCTAGCAACAAAATGATCTCCCTGCCAATTTCATCCCTCAGAAAAGGCAACACCTAAAATTAATTAGGTACACACCTAATTTTTATACTAGCTTAAAACATTAAAAAACATTCTAGTTAAGACTATTTATATAAGTCTACATATCCAGGCACTACAAACTTACAGAATACAAATCAATTTCTATTTTACTACAAAATTTTTCTAAGCACATCAAAAGAATGATGATGATTGAACGAAATGATTTGACATAATAATTTGAACAGATTCCTCACTTAAAACACCTAATGCTTTACAAGTATTTAATTCTTTTAGTTCAAATACAAATATATCCATGCACGAGGGGCAGGGAGTGAGTGGGGCATTAATGAATTTAATTGCATTTTATACAAATGCTACCTGTGTAATACTATAAATATGTTCTCACCAAAACAAAGAAAGCAGACAGTAGAGTTAATTGCATTTCTTCCACAAAATTTCCGTCATCACGTGATTTTTTTATTATAAAATTGAAATGTCTGACATCTTCAACTCTCGACTACATACTGAAATGCTCCAGCCAACAGTTTTCCTGGGGTTCAGTGAAATCTTTGGCGAGTCAAGCCAACTCATTAAAATAATCTGTAAGGCTGTTTTCAACGTACAAACATTTAAACTCTAAATTCTCCAATAACTGTCTTTCTTTTCTTGAACATTCAAACACACCAAAAATGTTCCTCAAATTTCCATTTTACTGTATAAAACTTTACTGCTCTCCAAATCACTCACTGGCCAAATAAGCTACTGTTTCATGACAATATTCCGAAGGAGTAATCATTTTAAATTTGAGCAGTAGTTACGAAAGTTTCATGTGTTTTATACAACTGCTCTCCCTTTCTGTCGTATAAGAAATACAGTTTATACAAAACTTCTGCAGGTACACCGAGTCACGATAAACACTGTGGAATTTTCCAGACCATTCTGGCCACAAGAATGTGTTCTTTCGGAGACCCAGTTTCTCCGTGCCTACGGATTCCCGCTCGCGTTTCCCAGGACCGCCTGCTTCCGCACGGTCTGCGCCGCGGCGGCACCAAGAGCCCCGGATCCCCGGACCGTCCCCTGTCCCAGGCCTGCCTCCCAGTACAGGAGCGGGCCCTGAGAGGATCTAGGTTTAGGAGAAAAGCGGGCACCACTTACCTACATCAATTTTCCCTCCTTTTTCAGAGGGCAGGGGCTCCGAGTGTCCCGCCAATGCGCCCGGACACCCAGAAACCCGCCGAGTGGACGCACAGCTGCATCCCACCCTCGCCGCCTTCCCCAGCCCCCTGGAGCCCAGGGCTCCGCGTCCCCACGCCCCAGCGGAGAGCGCGCCCGCCACACCTACCAGCGCAGGTGAGCCAAGGGCGGGGCGGCGCGGGGTCCTAGTTCAAAGATGAGCAAAGGGAGTTGAGCGCCGGGCGGGCGCGTTCCTGGGGCTCTCTGGGAGCAGCGCGAGGCCTGGGGCTCCTGCTCACTTCTCCTGCTGCCGGAGTCTCCTCAGCCGCCGAGCTCGTGGGGCTTCCTCATTTTGGGCAACTTCCTCAACGCCCCGGGACAGGCCCCGCATTTCCTCCCGGCCGCCGCCCCGGAGTCCGTACGCCCCCAGTGCCGAAGTCCCAAGCAGGGCAGGGGCAGTTGGACCACTGGGGACCCACCTCGAGGTTGGCCTGAGAGGCGGGAGGCCAGAGGGAAGAAGGAGAGAAGACAATTGGGTGCTCTGTCCGCCTTCATGGCTCAGAAGGCCAGGGCCAGGGGTCTTCATATACAAAGAGGGCCATTGCCAAAAACAGAAACTTCTTCCCTTTTTCGCCTGCAGCCCATTCCTACTGAGGACCGTAGGTCCTCCAGGCAGGCCTGTTCCCGCTGCTACTGCTCAGGAAGAGAATCTTGTTCTCTGTGCTGTGTGTCTGTCTTCCCAGCCACCAAGCCAAGACACCCCTGCTAACTCATAACCAGGAAGCCATGGAGTCAGGCCAGGTGGCCCTAGGTGTACCCAGACTTCCCCACAGGCCTTGGGGAGGTCCCAGCCTGTCCAACGCAGCCTGTTTTTGAGGGCTTTAATTATTACAAAGTTCTTGATAGTGCATTTAACTTGTTTCCTTTACCCACAGCGGCCTGCTGTCTGGAGCTAAATTACATTTAATCCTTTTCTGTAGTTCTTCAAATGCTTTAAAAACACCTACCTGGTTTCCCCTCCCCATCCTCTTTCCCTTTTTCTGTGTTGGGCAGCACTTTAAAATCTTCCTATGAAAGTTTTCAGCCTCTCACATTCTTGGTAACATTGGCCGGGAGTGTCTGATTTTAAAGTCTGTACCCTGAACCCAAATACAATAACCAAAATAAAATATGTAGTGTGTTAGATTATAATTGTCATGGAGAAAAATAGGTGATAGGTAATGTTTACATTCCATTGTAGCCTCTCAGCCTTTTCACGTGGACGTTCTTACATTCATTTTGCCATTAAATGTTTTTATTTATTGTATTTTTTCCATTACCATTTATCCCCCCAATACCCTCTTCCACCTTTACCCCCCTCTCTTCTGCAATCACTGGGTCCATGAGATCTTTCTGGTTTTTTTTTTCCTTTTTTGCTCAATCCCTTGTCCCCTGCCCTACACCTCCCCAGAGCTATTAGCCTGCTCTCTATCTACAAGTCTGCCTCTATTCTGCTTGTTAGTTGTTGGTTCATTAGATTCCACACATGAACGAAATCATATGGTACCTGTCTTTATCTGACTGGCTCATCCATGCTGTTGCAAAGGGTACAATTTACTTCTTTAAATGTTTAATGCAAGTGAAGGATTTTTATTATGGTTGTATGTGTTAATCATTGCACTTAATTACACTTCACCAAACCAGCAAAATAGACATCATTCTCTAAACAAAGGCTTAGAACATCCAGACAGGTTTTCAGAATTAGTGAAAATGTTGGAAATGGGCCCTACAGGACCTGTTTTGAGTTTACTAAGATTACATATTTCTTTAGGGACTGCTTGTAGAGATGAGGTGATGTTCTAGGTGCATATTCATGCCACCCTTTATCACTGCTATAGTCCTTTTTGAGTAAACTTTAAAAAGTTAATCAGTATGCTTATAATGATTTTTTAAAAATGTTAAAATCATCCCACAAATACCTGAAAAAAAATTCCTAAAAGTTAACACATTTCTCCCACACTTCCTTTCTTTTTCCAATATTTTAACCTTGTTTTTAATCTTTTACTGCAATAATCCTTAGCTGTGATTGTACGCTGAGTCCTGGAAGCCCTCTTTAGCAAAACTTGAACTAGGATGATCTCAGGGACACCCCATAAATCAGTTTTTAATGTGTCCTGTTTCCTGTGGATTCTTTATTTATTTATATTTTATTTCTTTCAAAAAAGTCAATATATTTTTCTGGTTTTGCTGTGTGAATTTCACCACATGAAGTCTCACATGTCTGCTGCATGGTCTGAGTGTTTCCGTGGTTCTTGTTCAGGGTGCCTGTCTTTCTTGTGTACTTGGTCACATTTGATTGGGAGCCATTCATTGTCCCTGAAACATTATATGTGGAAATTAGTTGAGGCCCAGGAAGAAGGTATTTTATTTCAAAGAGAATTTATCTTTGCTTCTGTGAGAAGCTTAGGATCCAACTAGTGTTTGAACAATTTAAGAAAATTTCTTAGCTTATGTTTTTTGGACCAGCTAAGTGATATGAATTTGGGCACAATTTTGGTCAACTTATGGCTACAATTTCTCAAGCATGAACATCTTCTGTTTCTGTTCTGTGCTTTTATTGCAGAGTCCTTGTTTCCTGTATTCATGCCTTCCTCTTTAGTTTACTGCATCATTTTGGTGGATCACAAGGCCCAAGAGTTTCCTGAGAAATGGAAGTCTATATTTTAAAGAACTTACATATCCTAAAAGTTCTACCCTCAAGTTTGATCGGTGATTTGGATTCTATCGAATTCTAGTTCAGAAATTATTTTTCTTCAAAATTTAAAGTCATTGTTCTGTTTTTTTGTGCTTTCAGTGTTACTGTTGAGAAATCCAAACCATCCTGAGTCTTTATTTTTGTCTTTTCATTCTGATTCTTGTCTTTTGAGCATTATTACTAGTTTGTTATTTTACCTTGTCCAGGCTTGCCAGCTTTCTCCAGACCTTCTATTTGCTTTTCTCTTCTCTGGTGACACCTCCTTGATCCTTACATCAGATCCTTTTACTTTCCCCTTTCTAGATGACAGTGTGAGGGCTTATTAGTCCCTTTATATCTGATTTTCCTTAGCCTTTGAGCATGGAGGGATGGAGTTGTGTTGCAATGGCTGGGCTTCTCCCTCCTGCATGAAGATTGGGTTGAATATAGAAGGGTTCACTACTCCTTGGGAGACAGAAAGGGGATAGCTTTCCCCCTGTTTTGGAGGCAGCTGTAAGTATCAGCTCAGTCCCTCAATTGATGTGTGGAGGCTTCAGACTTCTGATAGTCATGCAGATGGCTAACATATTTTTTTTTAAATATTTTATTTATTTATTTTTAGGGAGGGAAGGGAGGGAGTGGGAGAGAGAAAGAGAGAGAGAGAGAGAGAGAGAGAGATCGATCAATGTGCGGTTGCTGGGGGTTATGGCCTGCAACCCAGGAATGTACCCTGGCTGGGAATCGAACCTGGGACACTTTGGTTCCCAGCCCGCGCTCAATCCACTGAGCTACGCCAGCCAGGGCTGCTAACATATTTTTTTTCTTTTAACTCCACTGCAGCCATTTTTACTACTCCTTAGTCAAAATGGGAAAAGCTAAGAATAAGTTATTGCTCCTTTTTCTTTTATCGATATTTGAGTGAGAATTGTCAGGCTTTTGTAGACTCACCAGTTGTGGTCTCTGGGAGGTAGGAGCATGACCTCACCCTGATCCTCTCAAACTTCTGTTTTTTACATGAGCCAGCACTTTCCCGACTTCATCTCATTAAACCCTTCTCCTTTTCTTGTTTGGTTACTGTTGGTAACTTGTACATTTTTGTTTTCTCCTCCTTTTCTTTTATTTTAGGTAGCATGGAGGGAGGACTCTCCTCCCCACCCCCCGCCCAGATAGCAAGGCCTTGATACTCCCTGAATATTTCACCACTTTTATCCAAAATTTAATGTCACACATTCTTACCATAGAATACACATTGTACATTGTAAGATTTAGAATTCTAGGTCCTCATTTTCTTTCAAATTAAAAATATGCAAGTTACACATGATATATGTTAGGATGCCCTAGATTACAAGTATAAGAATACTTAACTCCAACTATTGACATGATAAAATTTTATTGGCACAAAAAGGAGAAATCTCCAGTTAGGATAGCATCAGATGTATTTTTATATAAATCATTTTAAGTTGAGATAAAAGCAATACAAAGCAAAAATCATCATTAGAATTGTTTTAAAATGTACTAATTTAATTCTATCTTGTGTTATGCAAGCAAGTTAATTTTGATAGGCCAGCATTGCTGAGTCTCAGTGATGCTTATCACTTGGTTACATCTATCTGCCCAAATGCCACAGAATGTGACAAGGAGGAACAGCTTCTTCTGCCATCTGGTTCCCTTGCTAGTTCAACCCTGATTTAAATGTGACTTTTCACCTATAAATGGTGTACTTCCTTCTTTTTCTGTTCTCAGTGAGGTTTTGAACAACAAAAAAAGTTTTTTAAGGCCCTACGATAGCATCTGAACTTCAGCCATGTGCATCTAAGCTCAGTGGCCAGGGGTTACAAGTCTGGGCTATCGCTACAATGCTGCTCTTTTCCTGGGCCTGTGGCCCTTTCACATACCTCAACAGGTAGCCGTGCATTTGCCTAGGTTACTTTTTAGAACTATAATTAAGTTGGCCCTCAGTACCTGGTGGTTGAACCAAACATGTATCAAAAATGTTGGGGGAAAAAAACGTTGGTGTGGCTCAGTGGATTCAGCACTGGCCTGTGAACTCAAAGGTCTCCGGTTTAATTCCCAGTTTAGGGCCCATACCTGGGTTGCCAGCCAGGGGCCCCAGTAGGAGGTGCATAAGAGGCAACCACACATTGATGTTTCTCTCCCTATTTTTCTTTTTCCCTTTCCCTCTCTCTAAAAATAAATAAATAAAATCTTAAAAATATATATTTTGGGGAAAAATCCCAGAAAGTTCTAAAAAGCAAAACTTGAATTTGCTACATCTGAGCACTACACTGAATCCACAGAAATAAAGTGGTGTGTAGATATATGTGGCATATACCTTATTTTCCTATAATACAAATATAGATTACATGCAATTGACTCGCTTATTGTTTTTATTATAGAGTTGTAAGAATTTTTGCATATTTTAGATACAAATACATTATTAGATATATGGTTTGCAAATATTTCCTCCTACTTTGAAGGTTGTCTTTTTACTTTCCTGACAGTTTCATTTGCAGGACAAACATTTTTAATTTTGATTAAACATTTTTAATTAAAATTCACTTAGTTTTTGTTTTGTTGCTTATGGTTTTGTATCTAAGAAATCACTGCCTATGTTTTGATATCTAAGAAATCACTGCCTAGTCCAAGGTCATGAAGATTTGTTCCTGTTTTTTTCTAGGTGTTTTATAATTTTGGTTTTTACATTTATGTCTCAGATTCATTTTGAATTCACTTCTGTGTATAGTTTAGGACAGAGGCCCAACTTCAGTTTTTGGCATGCACATATCCCGTCTCAGCACAACAGCAGTTATTGAGGCCACTACATTGACCCTTGAACAGTGCTAGGGTTAAGGGCGCCAACCCTCTTACAGTAAAAAATTTGCATATAACTTTTGACTTTTTAAAAATTTAACTACTAATAGCCTACTGTTGACTGAAAGCCTTATCAATAACATAAATAATCAATTAATACATATTTGGTATGTTACATATTTTTTAAATTTTAATTGTTGTTCAAGTACAGTTTTCTGCCATTTACCCCATCC